TGCTTTCAAATTATATGTGCTTTGATTGTGATATACTGTACGTAATGTATGGGTTCAGTCAATGAGGAAGCGGAAAGAGAGAGTGTGAGAGCGCCTTAATGTGAGATCGCGATATTAAAGCCCTTGAATGTAAATACATTACTTACTTACTCTTCCTTTTTTCTCTATTAAAAAGAGTAGAATTCCCGATACTATACTTCAGAATGCTAGAGAAATATAGAGTAATTTACTCTCTGTTTGCTGTGTTTGTATACCTGAGGTCATAATCACTCCAAAGCGTAATCTGTATTTCCGGTGGCAATCACTTCAGCCAAAGCCTATCGTATTCTTCTCTAGCATTCAAGTCATGTAATGTATTATAATTCTTATATGACTTTCTTGTGCTACTGATCTTCACTATAGAGACTATAATATAGTGAACAACTCCTCACAAATCTTAGGCAACTTTTTTGAACAAAGTATTAATAGTCGTACGCTTTAATGCACTATTTATTTTAGCTCAAAATTTATCTCGATTTTTCATATATTTGCCAATTGTTTGAAAGAACTCTTTCTCTCTCTCTCTCTCTCTCTCTCTCATTCACTCATTGCCGATATCTAGAGTTAAATCATATAATTTCTATTTAACTCTTTTGCCTATTATCTATAATTTTCTAATTTTAGTGTTTTGTTTAATTGTAATTTCATTAAACAGTAGAACAGATAAATTAAGATAATAATGCCTTTTGTGTTACACAAACTTAATGGTAATCCTTTTGTTGTGTCAGATTGTCAGCCATTCAGTGATACCTATAATTAAGTTAATAAAAGAGAGTTATTTTCGAGTTATGTATTGTTTGTTCACAAGTTTTGTTTTTAATAATTATTTGACAAACAAATTATTTTCATATTATATTCACTTTAATTTAGTGACAATCATATGATGTTAACATATCTTAGACATCATACTGTCAGCCAAATTGATATGGATTAAGATAGGGATTGAGATAGTGATTAGGGATAACCCATAATAATCTAATCGCGGGTACATTTAGGCGGAAGAGTACGTGTTTGTCATCGCAATGATATTTATCCAATTGGATGTGCAGGTGTTTAATGTATGGCTATAATGCTAAACACCTGCACCTCTCTTACAATCATATTATTTTTATAATAATCGGAATTTGATTTAAAATATTTCAATTTTCTTATATTTTGCTCAAATATTTAGATTACATCTCATGACTACTGACTGATAATTGAATTTGAGTTGTGATTTGCGGACACGAATGGAAATGCGTTCAAAAGGGTTTTGAAACCCAACCAAAGAGGGAAACTGAACGAAAAGTTTTTTCCAAAACGAAAGCAACATTTCTCCATTGATTTCACATTTAATTTTCATTAATTTGTGAAATCAATACATAACTAATATTTAGCGCAACTATTTTTTCGTAAAGAAATCAAAAATGACATCAAATATCGACGATATGACCGCCAGTGAAATGAACAGTTCATCTGATTTGCAAATAATGGATACGAGTCCTGACTCTATAATTCCGGGTTTGTGTTTAATGTGTTTTTTTAAATATATATATTTTTTATTTCAATCAAATATAAAATATTTTATACAACTCTTTTAGAGAGCGATAACGACTCTGGAATCGTTGCCATCGCTAACAACAATAGGATCGGTTCCACGGCCTCCAACTCCGATGAAGACCACCAAAGCTTCAAAGACAAGTAAGTGTTTGCACAATAAAAGTCTCGCAATCTTTTTTTTATTGTCACCTACTTTTTCAAGCGCTCTCTTAAACTCATGATTTCAATTGTCTTTAATATGTATTAAAGGGTCAATCAATCACTAAATCATCACTCGATAAGTTATGGCCCCAAACCTCGCGTCCGTTTTGACGACGAGTTACCGCTTTCTGAACAAAATATGCGGAAATCGTGTAAAAAATTATTTGAAACTCTTTTGCAACAAAATAAGGACAATCCGACCGCCAGTAGTGTCGGCCCGACAGGTGCTTATAATAACGATTCCGGAGCCGCCAAGAGTTCGGCTCTACTGCCCGCCTGTCAGTGCCATCGATTCGCACAGTCGTTGCCGTCGATGACCAAAAATAATTCATGTAATAATTGCGGCACTAATTCCAACCTTAATCTAAATACAGTGGAATCGTTTGACGACAACGAACTGCTTATCACAACTTATGGCCGACAATGCAATTACGGCAGAGAACCGCCGGTCACTAGACGTCAAAAGTATCACACGTTAGACAACCGGAAGAGTCGCAGCCATTGGACGCTCGATAACAGCCCTAAGGGTCGGACATTTGAGGACATCGATAGGTCTGGCATTAATTGTGATGCGGCTCTCGATCGCATCAAACGTATGTCCG